TTTTTACCAGATAATTGTCAGGAAGAAGAAGAATGGCATCATTGAGAAAATTACTATCCCAGAGAGCGAAATAAAGTAAAGAAACGCAAAACTAGCAGAAACTAGCCATGAACGAAAGACACAAGATCACGCCTTCCCGAAAGAAAGAAAAAAGTTATTTTCAAGCTGTTGAAATCTCGACGCCATCTTTGTTGTACGAAGTAAACAACGAAGAGAACAAAAAAAAACCGCGTAATTGTTGAACGCATGAATAATCATTTTTATTATGCAAATTCTTCTATAAATCATGTCGTTGTGTTAAATTATTCTTTACCTTATGTGTGCACACGTTGTCACAAGCGAAAATTAAGAAAATTGCAGTTAAAAGCCACCACCAAATTGTAAACAACGAACAAATGTAAACAAACGGCTGATGTCAAAGTCGCCCAACTTTTTTCCTAATGCGATTATAACGGGCTACTAAGAAGGCGTGATCTTGTATTTTTGGTTCATGGAAACTAGCTGGTAAACAGCAGATCGATGCATTTGACTATTGAACATATCTGGCGCGAATTTTTGTTTATCCATTTTCACAGCTGCTTAAAATGAAAACGTCAAGATCTAAAAACTCTGGTAATCGGGCAAAACAATTTGTATACAAATTTTCCAAAATGTAAAAATCTTTCCTTATTTTTCATCATCCACAATATCTGATCTATCTAATGTAACGTATTGACATGACGTTACGTTACTAGGTTGAGAAACAGCCTTTTGTGACGTACGTTCGTAATTTCGAAGTTTGCTATTTCTGTTTTGCTTCTTTCTTTATGTGTATTTTTTCAGTGATTTTTAAGCGATTTTCAATAAATTTTTTTGTGCAAATGTAATTAAAATGAAGTGCCCGGTGATCGGTTGCGAATACACGTACAAAAATTATCACTTTGTTAGCACAAACATGCGCTACAAAATTGCTTGCATTTTTTCTTTATACTTCATTCTCATATTCTTTGTTTACTTTTCAAAGAAAATAACATAGCGTCGAACTTACAAACATCGGCCCGAAAATTACTTTTTTCTTTTGCTTCATCTTGTCAGATCTTGTGTAGTTGGATCATTGAGTACTATATCGATACTTTCGTTTCGATATCGTGGCCCTACTTCTAAGTACTGCTATCGGAACATCACTAATTTAGCCGAGAAGAAGAAGAGTTCACTGTTAATTGTCTTTGTTATGGACGAAGCGATTCTTGGTAGAAAAATAATAATTTCCGCAGAAAACTAATTTTTGCCACGGGTGGTATTATAAATTATAGTGATAATTTGCATTGTGGTGATTCGACTGAATTTGAGAATACTGTAAGCATTAAATTGCGAAAAATGGTGCTGGCAAAATTGTAAGCAAAGCGGGTGGAGTACATTTTGTCAGCGGTAGTAGGGTGTAGGCGCTGTAATTTGGAAATCGATTGGTATTTTAATGAAAAATGCCTACTAAACGTGTAATTGAATAGAAAATAACTGAAACGAATTTAGTTAAAAGCGCGTACTGGTAAATATGTGTAATTATCGTATAAATGTCCTAAAACACTCAAATATATACAGGACGCAAAACAATTGGCTGCTGGAGAGCAGTTGCTGCAGAAAGCATTAAAAGAGGCGCTGGCTATGTTAAGAAGGTAAAATAGAATACATATAAAACCCGGAAAATTTATAAAACCGCTTATTCGTTAAAAATATCAAAAACAATATTTAAAACAAGCGGAGTTATTTTTGTTTTAATCAATAAATAAAGCTTCAAAATGAAAAATATGTGTACTAAAATATGTATATACATACTTACATATAGACATTATATTATATATGTACATACATGGAAGCCGCATAAAAAATATGAAAGTTTGAAAGCATAAGGTCCAAATATTAAAATAAATAATATGATTTAACAAAAGCTAAGATATTTTTGATTAAACATGTAAGTTGCAACACCATCCAAATGGTTTCTAGACGAAGCATCTGGGTAATTAAGCAACAAAATAGAGAATCTATTTCCGTTGTATCTCAATGAGTTCTGTAATATTCTGTAATTATTTTGAGAAAAATAGTCTATGGAACTTATCTGTTCACTTCACAATTAAATACTCTTTTATTTTTTCTTTTCTCTAATCTTTGATGTCTTCATTCCCCATCATTTCATAATTTATGGACTTTTTTTTGTTATATTTTTAGGTAGCATAATGCCATCGAAAATATTAAGCCACGCCAAAGCCTTCCATAAAATAAGTAAACGTTTGCTTACATCAGAATTTCGCCAGCCAAATAAACACATACAAAATATTGATATACAGAAATTTTGTAACAAATATGAAAACTTATGATTATCAGCGCTGGAGCAATAAAATCCATGTATGAATACATATATCAATGAGCGCTTGCATTGCACTAGTTAAATGCGGCACCGCAGATAGACTTTATCAGACAGCTGCATACACACATGTACTCCCGCCAAAGTGTACGTCAACAAATAAGTTTTGTGATATTTTCGTCTATTATAAGTACGATTAAACCAGAGAAGATTAGAAATTGAAACGACAAATACAGCTATAAGAATCTACAAACAAGGGCTAAAAGTTATATGTAGTATTAATCAAGATGATAGCGTTTCGCCATTAGTATATCAATAAATTCTATTACATTACTGTTTGATCTGTAAACGGCGAAGAACACTTTACTCAACAATAACCTCACCACCGTCAACACGTCTACCATACAGCTTGTAATGTTGTCCGACCTTGATGACACCGATGAGTTGGACACTATTGCCGATGTTATGGGCTTACGCTCACAGAACCGTCTCAACACATTTCGCGAAATGTGGTATCATATATTTTTGTGGGCGCTCTTCTCCTCCATTTTCATACACACATGCGCGGCGTTGGTTGCCTTTGTGACCCTGCGCAAACACAAATTCGGACGCTTTTTCTCCATACTGATAATGGTAATGGGATTTCTATCACCAGCAATGAGCGGCATCGTTAGTAGTGCGGTGATAGCATTCGTGCATCGGGCCTCTAGTTTGCCAATGTCGCCAATTTACGCGATGGTCTGGGGAGTGGGCCAAACAATAGTGTCAGCGTGTTTAGGGTTTACACGAATATTGGCCACGCTATAGAAAATGGGAACATGCTTGGGGGAGGAATGGCAAAGAGTGAGTGACAGACAGACGGACAGTTCCATATACATATGTATACAGACACACTCGTAAGGTCTTAGTGATAATCGCCTAGTGTTTTAAGTCTAATAATAACGAATGATAAGTAAATTAAAGGAAATACATATAAAAAATATATTAATTCCTTAATTGTGCAGTAAATTATAATCGTTTGCCCATTAGTGTATTTTGTAATTAAGGTTTCTAAACATGTTTGTCTTCATTATGTTAAACAAATTACTTCTAATTTAAAATTTTTGTATTCTATATTTATACCTTCAGTTAAGTATTCTCTGTGTTGACAATTGATAAAAACTATATATACAACATGTAAAACAGAATTAATAAATGATATACACACATACTTAAGTATTCAACCACACATGCATAGAGACATATATTCATTCAACTTTTTACATAAAACATAGCCAGTAAGCGTAAATTAGCCAAATGTCGTAAATAAAAGCATTCAAAAATATAACTAATTGAGATACATACATACATGCACACGTACGTAGTATGTATGTACTACAGCTTAAATTAAAAAACTTATTACTGGACTTTTGAAAAAGTTATAATCTAAAATTTCTACTCGACTACACACCACGCCCTGCTTAACCGCCAACGAACCTAATTTTAACAGTCTATAAAATATGTACAAATTTTAAGCCAATTAGAGCAATATGCATGACAATTGATTTGTGCGCAAACTGTTGGAATGCTAATACAAAATTCGTGTAGTAGATTACTAAGTTTTTTCTTAAAATCAAAGGCAGGCCTACATATCAAATACATAGACACTGTCAAATAACGCTTTACCATTTGGAAAAGTATATACATATTTGGAAAGGGAAATAAAACTGCTGACGTCTTGAAACATTTCGCAAACACTTTTTGACTTAAACTCAAAAAACTGGAAACTCATTTTTTGTTTTACTTAACTGGAATTAATTCGAAATAATAATAAAAAAGTTTTCATTTGTTTCGTAAAAAAAAAAATACCTTCAGGAGGTCGGAAGGATTCATTTGAAGACCTAAGGTAGCATACATTTGTCGCTTAACATGGTGCATACAAAATACATTTATAATTTTGTCCACATCATAGATTCACACTCACATCGAAATCGATATTCAAATTATTTCATCATTCAATTCGGCCTAAAAAACCAGTCGCAAGAAATTATGAGAAAAATGCAATCAAGATTTTTAGCTAAGATTTTAATACTCAATTAATATCTTCATAAGTATGTGTACGTAGACTTCATAAAACAGTTAGTTTATTTTCTATATTCTCAAGTAATCAAAAAATTTAAATAAAAAACATTTGTATTGCATATTATATTTTTACTCAATGCGATAAATCGCTTAGGGACGACAGAATTAAGAAAATTAATACGATTTTTTCTAAATTGGTTGGCAGTCGGTCGTGGCCACATCGTTTTCAATGTACAATTTGTCAAATTACTTAAGCAAATATATACTAAAACAAATGATAGCAAAAATTAATATAGTAAATATTGTATAACAAAATTACGGAATATGCGAATATGTGATTTTTAATTATAATTAATAAATACTATTAGCAATTGTGTATAATCTAATAATATTCTAATTTACGGTATTTAATAATTATACTTATATATAATTAGTCCTAGGTATTACATTAAACATATAAAAATAAATGACCGAATGACTAATTACATACATACATGCATGAGAAGCCTAATGTTAACGTATGCCTAACCTTAAGAAACGCAAAGGAATAAACCAATTATAAAATATTAAAAATACCATAAATTCATTTTTAATTATTTCGCAGTTTTTGTTAAAAGTAAGATGCAACTGAATATTGAAAATGTACTAAATAACAGCATTTGGATCTCTACTATTATACAAAAGATATAATTTTCCACTCAGCACATTTCCAATTCGCCTATCCGCTTGTAGAGGCTGTGGACCAGCGCGGTTGATTTTCAAATCAGCCATCGTATTCTTCTCTTCCGCTGCATCTCGTTCGTATGCGTCCAAAAGTCGTTTTGGGCATGGGTATTGGGCTATTATAGTCTCTGCTACTTCCAAGGTGACCAATGGTAGGCGGTTCAAATGCTGTTGCCACAAACGCCCAAAGCCGCTGGTTCCTACTACGCGCACACATTGTTTTTTGTCGTTTGCTAGGAATTTTTTGAAAGTCCCCAATGACTCGGATTTTTGTTGCTTGTATGGCGCTTCTGCGATGGCCTTGGTGAAACGTCGCAACGTTGCTGCTACTTCCTTTGCCATAGGTGGCACTTGTAAAGTAGCTACTTGGTGCAATACCTGCAAATCAATGAGTGCAGCCGTTTGACTACTCGAATCAGAACTTTTGTCGTCTCGTGCCAACACTGCTATTGTGGGTTTTGCGTCTGGAAAATGCGTGCGAAGATTCTGGACAATTTCCTTGACTGGTTTGCTCTTTCCCAGCTCTTGCGCTGTATGGAAATGCAATACTTGGTTATCCATGCCCCATTGCGAGGTCAAATGTTGCTCTATATCATCGGTGGATAGTAATTCTCGTTGTCCTGATTGGCGTTCCCAAATGATGCACATTTTGGCCGGCAAGTCGCGGACTAAGTATTTTAGTTGAAGCTGTTCTATTTCTAATTGCAATTGGAGACCTAGTCCTGGAATGTTTGAATACAGAATCTCGCTATCTAAGACCAGACGCACATATTTCTGGCATTCACCAGGTTTTATGCGTTTTTGTTGATCACGTATTGCTCTTTTATGTAATTTGTCGGCTTTAGTGTCCATTTATTCAAAAATATTCACTTCTACAACTTTGACTTTCGTTTTTGAATCACAGGAGGATGAATAAACATTAGGGCCACGACACAGTGTGGACCATGGTAAGGGTGCCAAAAAAAAAACCAATTCTGACATCGATTTTTTTTTTCATTTTTAACACGCCATCGATGTCTGTTACAAAGAACGTAAATCTATACATTAAATACATACATTTACGTTCTTTGTACATTTACGTTCTTTGGATTTACGTTCTTTGGTCTAATTTTTAAATTAAAACTAATTTGAGCTATACGGCAACACCAAGATCGAGTCAGCTGGCACAAAGCAGCTCTGTAACGAACAAGAAGTAAAAGAGGAATATAAGAAGAAAAGTGATTTTGCAAAAGCCAGATGTCTGGGAAAATTTAATTTGCTGCCGTCGATATCAAAAAATAGTAGAAGTTCTTCAAGTATTAAACCAATATTCCAGCCAAAATGAATCGACACGTGGTGAGTAAACTGTGCTGCTACTTTCATGGTAGTTTTCTAATAGATTTGATTTTAGGAACTACATGATAGTGATGAAAGTGACAGCGATTTTTGTCCAGAGAAAGATGCCGGCAACGAAGTTTCTGAGGAGGCTTCTACTGAACCATCTAGTTGTAGTGAGGCAGAGGAGAGTTGTGAAAATAGTCCCCAACAACAAAAACGAAAAAAGAACCGTGGACACAGTAGAAAATCCCAGACGAAAAAATTAAAAGGTCGAAAGAGTACACGTGCACAAGACAAGAAACGTTCGAGTGACACCGACGAAGAGAGCACGACTGCAGACACAGAGCGCAGACGCAACACTCGGCAAACCGAACTTTCAAAGCGGTTATGTAGTTCTAAAGAAAAAGATACTTTGGAATCTGAAGAAGAAGATAAATCTAGGTCTGATGCACTCTGGGCAGATTTTCTCAGCGATGTAAAGCCGGAACAAACTGAAAAAGTATCAAAATCCCAAACGAATACTAGTAGTAATGATGCTACCTCTAATGGTAGACCAGAGACAGCTGCAAAAAATGGACGCAAAAGGCCAAAGGATGAAGATAAAAGTGAAGAAAAATCTACCTCACAAGAAAAGCCAACAGTTGCAAAAAAACAAGAAAAGCATGCGGTGACAGAAGTTTTAGATTTTGCAGGAGAAGAGGTGCATGTAGAAAAAGTGGTAAATTCTGATAGTGTAAAGGAGAATAAAGAGACAGTGGTACGGGCAGGAACTTCAACATTGCGCGCCGGTTTTCCACCAGGTTTAAAACGACCGATGGCTGGTGGCAGTGGCAGCGGCGGTTTGGGCTCGTTACTCAATCAAATTGGAAAAAAGAAAAAAATATCCGTGCTGGAAAAATCGCAATTGGACTGGAAAAGTTTCAAACAAGACGAAGGCATTGAGGAAGAGTTGCAAACATTTAACAAAGGCAAAGACGGGTAAGTGCTGTTAGAAACTATAAAAGCATTGCGAGTTATCTTAACATATAAACCAAGCTAAAAATCATTCAAATACTATTTAGCTTGATGCATACAGTTGTCCATAATATAATATGAATGCGATATTCTGACCAGTTTTGGCTATTTGTATTTTGTTTATTTAATTTTTATAAACGTCCAGCTCGTTACGTACAACACCGTATAAATTCACATTTGTACAAAAATTATAAAAATTCTGCGAGTTTTCACTATGATTTCAAACTTTTTTATCAGAATCTTAAGAAAAAAAAATCCCGTTGATTTTTGAGACTTTTTTTTGGTTGAAGGTGCTTCACGTTTTTCCTATACAAAGTATTAAATATTTGACAATTTTCTTTTATATGGAGGGCACTGGCAGCAAAAAAAAAAAAAATGCCAAAAAGCAACGGTATTTTTTCGCAACTTGAAACTTCCCCTTCATTAGATTAAAATTAAATAGGCTACAAAACTGCGTACCCAAATTTTGTCTAAAGATTCTGATTAAAACGTTAGAAATTTGGGTGAAAATTTGCAGAATTTTCTAACTTTTGTAAAAAGATTGAAATCTAAATATATTCGATGTTTATTGTATACCCAGCTTGACTTTTATAAAAAAAAAAAACTGTTATAGTTAACTTAACTGATCAAAATATAGCACTCCTATTATTTTTTTTTGGCCACTGTATGTATAGTAAATGTATGTACTATTAAAAAAAAAAAATTGTATCTATGCATCACGCAAATTTGTTTTAAATTTTCAGCTTCTTGGAGCGACAAGACTTCCTGCAACGTACTGATCTACGCCAATTTGAGATTGAAAAGAACCTACGTCAGTCAAGGCGCAACAATTAAATCCTACCGTAGAATTACACGACAAAATACATGCATCTATAATTATAATATAACCAATAATTGACACATTTTACTAATTAAATACATAAGTATCTGACTAAATTCAAACCATCAATATATTATATAGTACATAAAACATGCTTGCTGATGTTCAGATTAACTTGTTGATAGCCGCCTATTGTATTCCGTATAAGAAATTACAATATAAATATATAATACATACATATGTACATGTATGGTATATTCAATAAATGTCTACTTTACACATAGAAAATAGCAAAGAAAACAATCGCTTGATATTTCATTTTGGATAGTTGCCCGTTGCATCGTTTGCAAGAAATCGTGTGACGGCATGTGCATTTTTTTAAAATATTCATGTGAAATTAAAGATAATCTATATAAAATAAATAAATAAATGTGTCTAAAATAAACGAACATTTAATCGCAATTATCTTGTTTTTTTTTTTCGAATTATAGCGTGCTGACTTTTCAAATGCTTTAATTTATGGGGAAAAACGCCGGTGTCAATTGGGACCAAATCGACAAATGAGAGTCTTAATAAGCAGAAAAAGCATTGTTCTAAGATCAGTTAAAAAATTTCAATCTGAAAACATAGTTAAGGGAATTTTGAAAGTCGAAAAAAAGATTTTGGAGTTTGTATCTTAAGTCTTTCGTGATTTCTTGTTTATTGCCCTTTAAATTTGCTCTTAGCTGAAGCGAAGAGCGTGTTGTAACTAATACTGTAAAACACGTGTAAAGTGTGCAAAATCCACACTTAACGCAGAATATAGGAGAAAAATTGAGCACTCATTCACTTCGCTTTTACGAGTTGTAAAACAGTCTGCTTTTTGTGTGTGTGTGTCAACTTCGCTTGCTTTCGTCGTAAGCTTGGCTCAAAATTCAAAACCACGCTAATTGTTGTCTGTTGACTGCTGCATGGCAAAAACTTCGTAGACTTTATCAGTGGACGTTCAGTTAGTTTTCAACTGTTGGCGCGTTTGTGACGTCTTACCACTGCCCGCTGCTGTGGTGCTGCGCAAGAAATAAAGGAAGAATTTGTAAATAAGGCTGAAAGCAACATTTGCTATTTGATTTCCTTAGTGATTATAGTGGTTTTAGTTTCGATATTTGCTTCGAATACGAATAATATCTATTATTTTGTGAGCTTATTTATTGATTTTTTTTTATTTTGCTTACCACAGAGCACTTTCTGTTGATAACAAGTGAAGCGTGAAAAACTGACAACAGTTCCGGTGGATTTCCCTTTCATTGATGATGGCTCATGTTAAAAAGCAAATAAACAGAAGTAAAGAAATTGTAAAAAACGCTTGATCAACAATACCCGTAAAAACGCAGAGTAACTATTTTCGAAGCTTGCATTGCTAAGTTGCTAAGGTGCTTAAAGTATTTTTTTTTTGTACATTTTGTATGTGATTTTCAAATTAAAATATGCATACAAGTATTAAATACCACAGGGCAAACTAATTTAATTATGTATTTGGCATTTATTGCACAAATTTTTAAATAATATATTTTTTTAATTTCATTGTGCAACATCAGTAGTGAAAGTGAGTTAAGGCAACTGCAAATAAAACACCAAAAAAATATATACAATTACTCATACATAATATATCTGTATGTACATACATATGTGAACATAGTAGAGCGCCAAAAAGTACGAAATATAAAAATTGTAATAAAAAAAAAAGTAATAAAGTAGTCAGTGACCGCTTCGAAAGCCTTCAATGTAAAGTGAAGCTGTGTTGCAACTTGTTTTTTTGTTTGTTGCTTTGTGTTGCAAGTGAATAGCGCGCCCCGCCGCGCCGATTTATCGTTGTGATAGTCTACCGTTAAAGGAAAAACCAGAGTTTAACTTCCGACAACGCCGACAGCACGAACAGGTCAGAGCAAAGCACGCGACAGAAGTAGAAAGGAAGGATATATGAAACTTGTTTAAGTTGGTGGCAGCGGTGAGCGTGAAAGTGAAGTTAACAGTCACAGCAAGGAAGGCGTTAAAAACAGGTAGGCGAATAGAATAAATTAAAACTAATCGATAAAGGAAATTAAAAAAAAAAAATAAAATAAATAACATACAAAGAGTAATAAAAAAAACTAAATTTAAAACAAATAAAAGTAAACTAAAAACAATAAAATTAATTAAACGAAAAAGTCTAATATAAATAAGATAAACAAATAGAAATTGAATGAACGTTATTATAAGCAAAATAAAGTAAATAAAATTAATCTTCGCAAAGCAAAAAATATATAAAAAAAAACTAAGACGAAATTATAAAACATGGAAAAAATAAAGGAAATTAAAAGCTGAAATAAAATTAAACAAGGAAATTAAAAGCAAACAAAAATAATATAAAGCAAAAAACTAAAACAGAAAGTAAGCAAAACAATACAAATAAAAGGAAGCAAAATTATAAAAATAAATTAAAAAATATGTAAAATGAAATTTTATATAAAATAAAGGAAAATAATTTAAGTTCAGAAACATATGAAAATAAAAACTACATATGTAAAAATATAATAATACACATTGAAATAAAATTCCATACCGAAGTAAAAAAATATAAAGCAAAATTAAAAAAATTAAATACACAAAAAAACTTCAAAATTTAATAAAACAACACAAAATAAATTAATTTAAAATTAGAAAAATAAGTAAAAGTAAATTTAATTGAAATTAATTTATTTTATTTAGATGAAATTAAATTATTATATTCTTGGTGGCAGGGGTTTAAAATGTCTAACGCACCATTAATCGAAG